GGGAGGGGCGGCCGGGGGAGGGGCGGCCGGGGGAGGGGCGGCCGGGGGAGGGGCGGCCGGGGGAGGGGCGGCCGGGGGAGGGGCGGGCGGGGGGGGGGCGCGGGGGGGGGGGGCGGGGCCGCACCCTGTTCTCAGCCTTCAGAATTAGCAAAACTCCCAGAGCACACTGGGACTCAGGGAGCTGCAAGGGGTCCCAGAAGGCCAGTGAAGGTGTTAGCATCCCCCGTCCCCAGGACCGGGTTAAGAACTTAACCTATGACCCACGGAGACCTGAGTTCCCAGGCTCAAACCCCAGTCTCAGGACACGTCCTGGGACAGAGGGGCAGAGACAGCCCAGGGAGTCTGGTGCAGGGGGAAATCCTGCAGACTTTGCTGAACGCCCAGGCTAGCCTTCTTGAAAATGGAGCATGGGATCTGGGTTTTGTAGCATGAGTAGGAGTTCGGTGGAGCCCCCAGAAGAATGGAACTCCAGGCAGAGCCTGCCGTGTAGGCTGAGGCCTTGAGGTGAGCGACGTCATGATGAGCTAGGGTGTGTTCATTTGTCACGGGGCAGCCAGGGGGTGGGGAGGGCAGAAGGAAAGGCTGGAATGTTCGAGGTGCAGGGCAGAGGCTGAGATCAGAGCTTCAGCACGCGGAGTCCCGGTGGCCGTTTCTACACGGGGAGCATTTGAAGCGAGTGTTGGTCACGTGAGTGAGGCCCAGGCATCCAAGGAGGGGCTGTGCGGTTATGATCAAGGATTTTTATTTTATTTATTCATTTACTCATTTTTTTTTTTTTGAGACGGAGTTTCGCTCTTGTTACCCAGGCTGGAGTGCAATGGCGCGACCTCGGCTCACCGCCACCTCCGCCTCCTGGGTTCAGGCAATTCTCCTGCCTCAGCCTCCGGAGTCGCTGGGATTACAGGCACGCGCCACCATGCCCAGCTAATTTTTTGTATTTTTGGTAGAGACGGGGTTTCACCATGTTGACCAGGATGGTCTCGATCTCTTGACCTCGTGATCCACCCGCCTCGGCCTCCCAAAGTGCTGGGATTACAGGCGTGAACCACCACGCCCGGCCCTTATTTTATTTATTTTTTTGAGACAGAGTCTCACCCTGTCACCCAGCAGGCTGGAGTGCAGTGGTGCAATCTCAGCTCACTGCAACCTCCACCTCCCGGGTTCAAGCGATTCTCGTGCCTCAGCCTCCCTGAGTAGCGGCGATCACAGGTGCCCGCCACCACGCCCGCCTAACTTTTGTATTTTTAGAGGGACGGGGTTTCTCCGTGTTGACCGGGCTGGTCTTGAACTCCCGACCTCAGGTGATCCACCTGCTTAGGCCTCCCAAAGTGCTGGGATGACAGGCGTGAGCCCCCCTTAAGTATGCCCAAGCCCTGGCTCAGAGCCTGCCCTGATCACTCTTACTCTGTGTAGTTTGTTTTCTTTTGAGGCTGTGTCTCGCTCTGTGGCCCAGGCTGCGGTGCGGTGGCACGATCACAGCTCACTGCTGCCTCGACCTCCCAGGTTCAAGTGATCCTCCCCCTTCAGCCTTTTGAGTGGCTGGGACCCCAGGTGCGTGCCACCATGCCCGGCTAATTTTTCGATTTTTAGTAGAGATGGGATCTCGCTGTGTGGCCCACGCTGGTCTCAAAGTCCTGAGCTCAAGGGACCCTCCTGCCTCAGCCTCCGAAAGCACTGGGATTACAGGTGTGCACCGCCGCACCCGGCCTGATGATGTCCAGGTCCGACAAACCGTGAGCTGGCTCTCCAGCCCATGCCGCGCGGGGGTTAGGGGGCAGAGCAGAGCCTGTGGGAGTCACTTTGATTTCAAGGAGACAGAAGCACTGGATGAGACCAGGTCAGAGCAGAGACCTGAGGCCGCCCAGTTCAGTCGGCCGTGACTCGGTCCCCCCAGGATGACCACTCTGAGATGGGGCTGGGGCTGCCTTTGCCCTGGTGGGAATGTCTCGGGCCCAGCAGGGGTGCTGAGGCCGGGGGCTGGGGCAGGCGCCATCTTTTAAACACCCTCAGGTCTCTGGGCTACTCCCCCCAGCAGCCCCTCAGGACACCAGCCCCGGACCCGTCTACTTCTTGGACCCCAACGTCACACGCTTTGGACGCAGCTGCACCCCTGCCTACTCCATGCAGGGCCGCGGCAAGTCTCGGGGTGAGTACCGGACCCACGCAGCCACACAGGGACCCCTCTAAGGCCTCAGCGACGCTCCCGCCCTGGCCCCCCTCTCCCTCTTATCCTCGGAGTCCTTAGAGTACCAGTGTCTTTAGAGTGATCAAATCCAAAGGCCCCGGAGGAGGGGCCGCCACGCCAGTGCCCACAGGGGCTGGGAGACCCGGGTGAGTGAAATGAGTCAGCGTCACGGAGGCCCTGGGCACACACGCACCCCAGGGGCAGCTGGCCTTGGTGTCAGAAGGTGAGAGGTGAACGGGCATTGTGGCAAATCACCAACGTCCTTCACGGGCACCCAACAGCCTGCCCGAGCACCTGCCTGACTCCATGCTCCCCTCCACCTGCCCACCCAGCCACCCACCTATCCACCCACCCATCTATCTATCCACCATCCACGTATCCATCCACCTGCCCACCCACCCACCCATCCATCTATCCACCATCCACGTATCCATCCACCTGCCCACCCACCCACCCATCCATCTATCCACCATCCACGTATCCATCCACCTGCCCACCCACCCA